TAGCAGCATAGCGTCCTCTAGCAGCAGTTAGCTAGCAGCATAGCGTCCTCTAGCAGCAGTTAGCTATCAGCGTGGCGTCATTCAGCAGCTGTTAGCTAGCAGTGTGGCGTCATTCAGCAGCATGTTGATTCTGTTCAAGATCAAAGAAGGTTCTCAACCAGGCGGCATGGGATCTCATGCTTGAATCACCATGGTCCTGATAAAGTTATGGCCAATAGTCCTATTTTTAGCTTTAGGGTTCATTTAAACTTCATCCCTTTTCACTCCACCAGCAAACAGCTCAGCACTCCAGCATCTTATAATCAGACAACTATATTTAAATGTAAACTGCTAAATACACACTTTAATTACTATATTTAATGGATTAGCTAGCCTAAATTGGGCTTGGAAAGTACTTTAATGCCATGCTTTGTATTTAAACCTACAAGTTGCACCTTCTAATTGCTACCCAACACAACTTCCTGTCATTAATATGCAAATCATGTTTCAAAAAAAAGAAAGTGCACACTACAATCTGTGGTTCACAGGAATAACAGGGCTGCACTGCAGGAGCTGCCAGCGGGTCACACGTAGGAGTTACTCGCCCTGGAGTCTGAGTAAGCTGCACCAGATGAGGAGTTCACTGCTCCCCGGTCGCTGCTCCTCACGAGACAGGTATGCAGCACACACCGGCTAATGCTAATCAGACTTCAAGCGACCCGCACCGCAGCACCTCATGGTTTTAAATGCCATGGGCTTATACGCTGCCCCCGTCCTCCCAAATGTGTTGTGTGCAGCAGCCTGATGACCATCGATTCCACAAATCGCTTTGAACGTGCAAAAAGCAGCCCAGTAAATGGCCCTGGGGCTCAAGGCAGTAAAATAGATTTCTGAACTGAGGAGTCTAAAAAAAAACTGCTGTTTCCATGGTCCCAATCCCCTAGGAGAACCACACGCGCTTCGGATCAATACCAGAACCGCTCAAAGAACGAGGGCTTCCAGAGTGTCACTGTAGAAGCGGTGCGAACATGACAAGATGACTTTCTAAGGAGTATGAAATATTCAGCAGCAACAGCCGCAAGGCTCAAAGAAAAGGAAGCCACTGGAGAAATTTAGGAAGGCTTTCATTTCACCCCTTTTTGTTTTGCTTTCTGTCTAACCGGCGACGTAACGTGGGTTCCAGAGGCTGACAGCCAGCCTTTATGTTAAGGAGCGCTAACACCATCAATCATCCATTCATACAGTACAGTGTCATGAAGCATCATCAAACCATTGGCGAAACTGCTGTGAACATGGCTGTGATTATGTTTACTGAGCATAGAGAAGCAGAGCAAACCAACCTGTAAGTGCTCACAGGAAAAACGGTTTTAAGATGTTCAATGAAATATTCTTTAATTCCAAGTCAAGACATTATCAGCGAATGGACACGCATGCACATCTACATTTCTACATTATATAATACATAAATGGTTCTATCGATACAAAATATAAAAATACCTCATTTACATATTTACATTAAAACATTCTTAACTTAAGGGATTTCTTTATATACACATCATAGAGCTTTATTCAGTGGTAAACACACAGCTGGGAGAAGCAGGACTACACTAAACTGTTACAGTGCCTGAGTATGGAGAACACGCATTTTGCGTTTGTCGGATTAGCACTGGCCGTTTAATAGAGTGCCGGGTTAGGAATATAATTAAGAAGTAATTGGGACGGTTAACGAAGAGCATGCAAAGTTACTGCTGTCGACTGACACCTCACTGAATATCATTCCCTGGCTGGGCTCACGGTACAAAGCGGCAGGGTGTTATGGCTTGTTGTTCTGGGGCGGGACCACGGAGCGATGTGTACAGACGATTTTTGTACTGGGTAGAAATGGGGGGGGGTGTCAGGAGATGATGCAGTTCTTGCTTTTCCTGCGCTTGCGTGTATGGAGCTGTCCGTGGCCCCCCAGCGGACCGGCGCCCCCTATGGCCGGGGAGGCGTACTTGTGGAGCAGCTCCTCGCCGCTCAGGTAGCGCATGTGCACGGGCCGGGGGATAGGCTCACCCAAGAAGTAGCCCTCGTCGTCAGACTCGGAGGAGGATGAACAGGTGGAGCACCAGTCATCCTCATAATCGTCCCATCGGCAGGGCCCAAGCCCATGACCAACCGCGTTCTGCAGCGTCAAGTCCGATGTGGTGCGTGGGCACTGCCGGTAGGGGCCCTGCCGGAAGTGGCCGCCCCCGCCAAACGGGCCCCTGCCCCCCCCAAACCGATCATAGTCCTCGTGGACTCGCAGCAGGGGGCGCTCCAGCGTGGGGCCCCGGCGCTCCGCCACCAGGTGCAGTGCGTTATCAGACCGCGAACGGCGGGACCGGCGTCTCCGGTGATGGTGGCGCCGGCGTGGCTCCTCTAGCTCTTCAGCCCTCCGCCGATTCCGAACCCCCGCCCCACCCATCAGACTCAGCCGGTCCTCCTCCTGGAAGGGGAATCCGTGTGGCTGACGGAGCCGGCCTGGGGACTCCCGGCGGTGCGATGGGTACTTCAGCTGTGGTGGTGGTGGGGGGCGGAGCTCCGGGTTGCCATATGGCTGGGCAGAGCCGAGGCTGCGCAGGGACTCAGTGCTGCGGAAGTGCAGTGAGGAGTTGAGGGTGCCCATGTTGCTCTTCTCTGACACATTCATTCCGGAGTCCTTGCTGAGGTCGGGCATGGAGAAGCGGGACAGGTGCTCCTGCCGCCGGCTACTCCCATCCACGGATGTGCCTGTGTGGGACACAGATGGACACCGGGGTTACAGATGGGAACAGTGGGAGGCCAGGTTACTCGAGTTAGAGAGGAATGCACCGGGATGTCGGGGTCAGAGAGAAGTGCGCTGGGGCGCCAGAGATAGACAGCGTGCAGGTACACTTGGAATGGATAGAACTGCAAGATGCCGGGGTCAGACAGGAGTGCGTTGGGACACCGGGGTCAGAGATCATCCTGGGATGCATGGGACAGAGGGGAGCGCGCCGGGACGCATGGGACAGAGGGGAGCGCGCCGGGACGCATGGGACAGAGGGGAGCGCGCCGGGACGCATGGGACAGAGGGGAGCGCGCTGGGATGCATGGGACAGAGGGGAGTGCACCGGGGGGATGCCAGCAGACGCCCAGTGCAGACGGCTCTAATTTAATGGGCTTTTTAAATCTCTTTAAGTCTGAGAGCCCGAGTCACGCCCTGATGCTCACTGAGCCCCGTGGGGGTGAGATCCTCAGGTCAGAGAAACAAGAGCAGCGCTCATTTATTACACCGTCTGACATTCTGATGAGGGGCACTTATATTTTGCAAGACTAAGCCAGTAAAATTATAATTATGCATGAGAACGTTTACAGATGTTTTGCACAAAATATTTTGCTTCTTTACCCAAGGATTTATAGTACAGTGCAAAAGTCTTAGGCAGCCAAAGTAAATGCTCATGTTGGCATAAAAAATTAAAATTGTGTCTGTCAAAGTGTATCAGCTTAGCCATTTCAAAATCTCTCCTCACATCACCCCAGTATTTGCAGTAACTGTCCAAAACCCCAATGTATGTTTGACTTGATCACTACCTCACCTTGAGTGTTTTTCAATACGGGCACTTGTCCATACTTGTGTTCTCGTATACCCATTTTACGTCAACTTCTGTTTCCAAAGTCTAGTTCTAATACTCAAGAAAAAATATACAGAGGACAGCAAAAATCCCTGGATGATGTTGTTGCCCCACCCCAATTGTCACGGATACATCAGCTGCACCTTCGAGACCAATCTCATAATTCAATGTGCCTCAAGTTTGTTCCTGGAAGGAAACTTGGCAAGACCGCTCTTGCCAAAACCACGAGTAAGATCTTCACGTTCTTGGTGTTGGGGAACTTGCCCTTGTTTCAATACTTCACTAAGTTATTTAACGAAGTTATTTAATTGAAGGCTGGTGGTAAAATGTAATTAATACACTGAATAGCTCCTGTTAGGAACTGAAACAGAGATAAACATTTGAAGAACAGAACAAAAGAAATCATTTGTGTTTATTATGTTACTACTAATTTGCTAATTATATTCTCATATTACATTGTGTTTCTGACTGTTTAAGCGTTTTGAACAATATTGTATGTCAAAATGGGAGGGGGGGAGATACCTGTCACATTGGAGAGGGCAAGAGACTCCATGGAGCCTCTGGGCGTCTGTTCCAGTGGGGTGAGCTGCTCCGTAAAGCCCAGGGCGTTGATGGGGGTGCGGGTGCGGCCCAGCTGGGTCCCTGCTTCCGGATCTCTCTGGAAGCCATGCAGGCTGACGGATCGCTTGTCCAGGCAGTCGCTGCGGGCGGCATCGTTGAAGCTGGCCTGGCTCTTCAGCTTTGCTGGGTAATAATCGCCCTGCTCCGCGTGGAACCAGTCCTCATTCAGGGAGCGGCCCTTCAGGGCACCCATGGGGGGGCGTTTGGGCCCGGCCGGCTCTGGGGACCGTGGGTTGGTCGGGCCTCCAGGGCTGAGGGTGGCGCCGTAACTCGTCCTCACGTTGCATTGGCTGAGCAGCTGCAGGGGGCTGGGCGCCGGCTCGGGGGGGCCCTCCTGCACATACTGCTCGCTACGGCTCTTCCACGCTGGGGGGTCACGGCTCAGGCTGGGCGTCTGACTCGACACACTTAACAGGTCCATCTGCAGCGAGAGTGGGTCGATGTCGGCCGAGAAGCGGCCCGGCCCGGTCGGCTGCCGGGCCTCGGGGCCATCGGCGCTCTTGCATGCCTTGGTGCTGCGGCGCGACTCACGGGAGCGGGCACTCTGGAAAGCAGAGTCGCACGAGTCTGAGCCATCGAGCTCATCACCGGCGCTGCAAGAGCGAGAGCAGAAGATCTGGCCCTGCTTGGGCAGGAAGGGCCGGCCAAGGAGGGACCGCTTACAGCGGGCACAGCAGAAGCAGCTCTCCGTGGCGTGCCAGTGCTGCCCATCATAGGTCATCTGGCCCTGGTCGATACCTGCGGAGGCAACGCCCAGGGTTAAACCACGAACAGGGATAAGCCTACCTAGTCTTAAACCCCTCCCACCAAGGCTTAAACCGCAATCAGGGTCTAAGCACCAGACACAAACTAAACAAAAGGTTGTTTTGCATCCTGCTCTGATGCCTGTATAACATGGATCCATGATGCTGATTACCACCGTAATACCCGGCACGTGGCCCTCCTTAACGAGCCTCGCGGGATTCCACATGTCGTTAGTGCGCTTTAATTTGTATTTAGTCTCACACGCGACCAAGGAAGCATCAGAGTAACGAATAATTACAGGCCGGCTGTCTGCTTGCCAGGCCTCGGAGGCCGTAATTAAGAAGAGCCCCCCAGATTTGATGTGGCAGCTGCTGCCTGCGTGTAGTTCCTCCCCAGGAAACGGCGCGGGGCTGACCGATGTGCTCTCCGCAGGCGTCGCAGTACTCGGCGTAGAGCGACTGGAAGCAGTCGCAGCAGTAGGGCCGGCTCTCCCGCATGATGTAACGCTGCCCCCCCAGCACGGTCTCACACTCGAAGCAGCAGAAGTGGCTCATGTGCCAGTGGCGGCCCTCCGCCTCCGTGCACTCGTCCGCAAAGATGATCTGCAAGGGGTGGGGGGACCGTGCTGTTAGTTAAAGCCCAGATCTCCCCGAGAAAGTGGGGCAAGAACATTCATAGAATAAAGACTGATGGAATGAAGCAGCAGAGCCGACTGGGGACCTGAGGAGCATAAGAACATAAGAACATAAGAAATTTACAAATGAGAGGAGGCCATTCGGCCCATCAAGCTCGTTTGGGGAGAACTTAGCTAATAGCTCACAGTTGTTAAAATCTTATCTAGCTCTGATTTAAAGGAACCCATGGTTTTAGCTTCCACTACAATAGCAGGAAGACTATTCCATACTCTGACTACACGCTGTGTAAAGA